CCAGAACCACAGGAACTTTGCTGCAAGACAGGCATATGTAACGATGACTTGGCACAGATAAAGTCGTGTCTTATTTATACTCTGTTCTACTGACAACAGGCCAGCGAAAAATCTAACAATCTACAGCAAAACCATCAATTATTATGGGCGTTATAACATAGGTGTGCAGCTGAACGAAACATACACGTCGAACCCCCCCAGACGATTTAAATCCCTGACGAAACATACACGACGAACCACGGCAACGGGTTAAGGAAAATAGAATTACACACATTTTTCAATTTTATCAAGAGTGCATGCAAGTCCTAGCGCAACGATAGGTACAAGAAAATTCTTAGCAAACTACATGAAGACATCTGTAGATTATTTAAAGATTTTCAAAAAATAGAAGATTAATTTCCGCTTTCGATTTGTTCTTTCTCCTTTGATCTTAAGAAGACTTTAGATTTTGAGCTAATTGGCTACTGGAATGATAAAGGACAAAAAGAGAAGATCAATTTTTTTTTAAGTCTGCCGATTCCATTTTGCTGTTACATGATTTCAAATACAGCAGTTCCATAGACTTTGGAAAGAAAGCGTTATCAATTCTTTTGTCCATACAACCATAAATCATTTTCTACAATGAAATCGAAACAAATCAAATGCACGGGTATGCACAACAGATGAACATTTCTCTGCAGTTTTGTGTATAGTGCCATGAAAATTTACCCAAAATATTAGAAAATTTTTCAGCAACTAAGTATCGTTTGTCACATTAATTTGTTTGAGTGCTAATGGACAGTTATCTATTTTTTCAGTGTCTAATTAAGTTATCTCATAACGCATTCTGTTTTCAATTGAAATCTGGCAGATTTTAGGTGTGCAAAGTATGTCATATGATACAATTAGTATTCCCTCTTCAATGAGATACCACACACTGCACACCACCAATTAATTGTTAAAACATTAAATAAACAGGGGCTATGTTGGTTGAGTTGCAGCCTCTGCTACAGAGACACTCATGTAAACCCCCAGCTGTGAGATGTCAGCACTTGTTATCCCATTCAACTTGGCAAGTGCTGAACATTTAACCATGATATTCAACCACAGTACTGACATCACTGTTTGTGTTACATACCTGAGCCCCTACAATACCATTCCCACCATAGAAGTTCTTTGCATACATGTGCATGGATCCACCTTTACCACGAACACAACCAGACTGGCGACCTGTAAGTTCTGCTATTACACCCACAGGTTCCACACCCATTAGGTATGTCCACCCATGTACACGATAAGCCGAGATGATGGAGTCTTGTGGCCGCATGGCTGCCTTCATCCCAACAGCACATGCTTCCTATAAACACATAGTGTTCATTGATCATGCACCTCAGAGTTCCCCAATCTAAATGTGTACTCTTCAACTAACTGGTCATAACTCTTGCTTTCAGAGTAACATTTCTTTTTTTAATTCTGACAGTTGGTTGTGTAGTCAGACTGAGTCCACTTGGCACGCCTGGCCACAAATTGGCCTATTCATTTACTGCATGAATAGTTCAAATTTGATGTTATTGCTAGTCTCAAAATTGAATAAATTTGACTGACATAGTAAACGCACATGTGATCCATAATAATATCAGGTAAAAATCATTTTCAGAATAATAATAGTATTCTGTTTTCTCTTTGATTTTATGGTCTACCACACTAGAGATTTTCATGATTCTACTAAGAAATTATCAGCAGACAAAGTGTGGACTTCAGGGTTATAATACCATGCAGTATGACTGAAAGATATCAGGGTTTCGGAAGTACCATCTATTTCCATCTTCAGGGCAGAAATGATTGCATTTGACTATGTCTAGCCTGCAGATGGAGGCATAAGGATTATACAAAATTTTGATAACCACCTACCAAACTATAATGTGTCATAAGAGGGATGACCATATTCTAATTCTTCAAAATCATAAAAACCTCCTCACCCTTATGAAAATATCGTGGGCAACTACATTCTCATAAATATTTTAGAACTCTTAATTGTGAGTGCAGGGCTGTAGGGCTCTGTCTGACCTGGCCAGAATACAGGTGGCAGAACCCTCTGATGAGCTTCTCTTTATACAAATTACCAGCAGCAGTCTCCAGTCTCCTGATCATATGCATTTTGTTGTATAAATCCAGTGCATCTTCCCGTGTAACACTCACAGTGTTCGATGGCCCACATTCCAATCTGTGCAAGCGGAAAGGCTACAAACATATGAAACGAATATTACATTTGGCAATTAAATTATAAACTTTAGATATTATATGTTACTTTAAGTGAATATTAGAACTATGGAAATTCTGTATGCATGGGAAAATAGTAATTCAAAATATCCTCTTTGATGTCTTAACTCATTTTAAAACACACACAATCTTCGTGAGCAAAAACTATGAACAAACGCAGAAGGTGTTTCTGCATTTTTGTATGTTTTTTTTTTTTTGGATTCTGATACTGAGTACGAAAGATATTGAGTTTAGAAGGATCCATTGCATACAAAAGATATTAAAATTGTAGATTTCACAATACTGAAGAAAAAATACCAAATTTTGGAGGAACAGCATAATAGTATGCAATTTTAAGTGTAGCACTTAACAGAATATCTGATTGAATTTTTCCTAAAAATTTTCTGCTGCAAACCCTCAACTAAAATTTCTACTTCTCATGGGATCCGTTCATTTAATCCATAGGAGAATGGGTACAGGATCATGCATAGTAACATTTCACTTTATAGCGAAATGTAATTCAAGATTGGAATATAGTTCATGAACTCATACATCTTCAGTTGAAATAACATATGTTACACCCCTAAGGGTTTTTCTTGAGCTAAGGTGAGACTAAGTCCCTCGATACAGCAGTCATAAATGGGGCTATTGTATCAGTCATGGATGACAGATGAAAGAATGGAGTTTTGATAGAATGATAATTGGCAGGGTAAAACCAAAGTACTTGGAGGATAATCTGCCCCAGTTCCAGCAAATTCCACATGAACAACACTAGGGATGAACACAGGCCTCAGGTGACATGCTGCAAAATAAGCATTACATCATATTTGTTTAAAATGTCAGTGTTGATGATAATGGCAGCAACACCAAAGGGCATACCAAGTAACACTCTGTTGTAGTGGAAGGATTCAGCAGTACCAATGACCAGAAGAGCTATGCTGGGGATGCTTATGTTTTGTCTAGTCAGAGGGGTGGGATGAAGCTAAGAGTAACTCATTTTGCTGCATCTCCAAAGGTAAAAGAAAGTAAAGCCATCCCTGGCCTTAATTAAGTTCCATGTGATAAGGGCATATTGGGGATCAGAGGTATAGTGCTATGTGTTCTTAATGTTAGAACTAGGTTGAGGTAAGGGGCCAACTTCTTATCCTGGTCACTTTACCTCTGGAGAAAAGGCCCGAGGCAACTGATGGATATCAGACTGAGTGGGCAGCAAAGCCAGTCACCCTGTGGAGAAGAGAAAAATCTCTTGCCCTTGCTCTGAATAAACCTTGATTCCATGGTAATCTAAGCCATAGCCCAGTCACCATATGAACCAGCCCCACATTAAAATTAGCTGGAAAAGTCTGTTCCACAGAGTACAGTCTTATCCAAAAACCCAGCAGCAGGTACAAAATGCAATACCTGTTTTATGGTGGGGAATGCTCAGAAGGAGTGGATATCTGAAGATCAGCATGTCATGTCTAGGCTGGTGCTCAGCATGCTGGACATCACTGCATTTGGACCACCAATAGGTATTGCAGGTTGATGCCAAACCACCAAACAAAAACATAGTGAAAGAAAATTTGACCTTCTCCAACATAACCTCTGCATCCCCTGCTGAAAGTATTTTGTAGTCCAATATGCTTATATGAAAGATAACTGTGTGATAAACAAATCTGTCATGTGCTGTTACTTCACAGTAATACAAGATTAAGTCAGTATAACTGGATATAAATCTTCATGAAGAATTTGTTAGTATTTATTCAGAACATTTTAAGGTTTCAAGATCCATGTGAACTGAGAATCCAATGTACCACATCCCACACTTGAACACACAACATCACAACCCAAACCACTAATGAGGACACTATGTTGCAAATAAAGAAAATGAAGAAATAAATCAACAAAGAGAATAAGCCTGCAAAAAAGCCCACATAACATGAGATAAAATGAATATACAAAAAAGGCAAAAATTATCCCACAGCAATAGCAGAAAAATTACTTCAAAAGTAAATGAATATATTAGAGCTATAATCAAACCAGAAACAAACCTTGAAGACACAATCTAACATACTGCAGCATAGTCATATATTTAAAACTGCATATTAAAAACCTTGAAGACAGAAAGAAATTAAACAAATCTGGCATTAATCTGCATGCCAATACAGGCCAAACAAATGTAACAAATTTATAGCAAGGAAAGAGGATGAATCTAAGAAGAGCCTGAAAGTAATTATAAAGAAAACTAAACAGACAAATTTCAGATATACTCAGCATAACTGAAACAGTTCTAACAGCCTACTCTATTTGAAACAGAAATCCAGAACACCAACAAGAAAAAAGGTAAGGTAAAAATGTCCTTGTTCTTAATTACCATGCAGTGAAGCAATATAGGTAAGGTAAAGTTATTCGTTTTTTGAGTAAGCACCCCACTATGAAGCCATATGAGTAGGATAAATGTAATGGTGCTTAATTAAGCACCAAATCTTAAAGCCCTATCAGTAAATTAAAGTTGAAGTTTCTCCTCTGCTTAATAAAGCATCACTCTATTGGGTTTCAGGGTATGGTGTTTAATTGAGAACTCTACCTTATCTGTATGGATTGCTAATGTGACTTATGAAATTTGAATTCAGTGTCTGGGAGCCAATTAATATTTGTCACATCACATTTACATGGTACGTTGCTACACAGAATTATGATTTAAAATTTTGGTTATATATTGTTTTCTGTGATGTGGGAAGGGGAAAATGTCATATATTTCAGATAAGAAGTACAAGAATATAATATTTAGGCACACAAAGGTAGCATAACCCAAGAATTAAGGACAGAATCATACTAATAAACACACATTATACATTGCAGAGAGTGGCTGCAATTCAAAAGATAGGAAGAACAAACATCCTATAATACCAAAATTAATAATAATGACATACCTTAAGAGTAGTATTGACAAAGTGTGAAGTGTAGTGGATTCCTTAATAATGTGTTGCCTGGAGATGGCCCTGTGTGGCCAAAACATGTAGCGCATGAAGGTGGAATATATATAGAGTGATATTTTTAAACATTTTGAATAACATTTTTGTTAATTAAATGTGGATTAGTGCCATCTAAATCTATATTGATATTGTTGCCTTATAGATGGCAGAAGGCTAAGTGATACTTCAATGCAAGAGTGTGCTGAAATATATTATCATCTCAGATAAGAAGACTGAAGAATAGTGATTTAATTGGAAATTTGCTTCTGATAATCAGATTTAGGTTTTGCAGTACAGAGAAGTTATTTTAGCACAAATCATTACTTTTAAGTAACATTTACAACAAAGGTAAGAAACCCATGCATACCTGCAATATAAAGATACCTTAGTTTCAAATGTTGCCTCCGTAGCATAACTGTTACTACAAGATACTGAAGGCAGCGAATGTTGTTTCTAAAGAGAAGAAAAAGAAGAAAAACATTACAACTGCAATATTAGCATATTTGTTGACAAATTATTTTGCCTCTAAATTTATACTGGAAGGTAAACACTCACTTATAGACAAAACATCATTTACAGATGGAGAGTTTGGGGGAGGGTGCAAAATAGAAGAATAAAAGACGCAAATCTCATCCAATGCATTGCAACTTACCTAACCCAGTTAGTCTGTTACTAAATTGAGATTTACTTAGATAATATAACAAAAATGAAATGTACCTAACTTGCCCCAGCCTAGCACACTGAACTGATTCTGTGAATTATGAAAGTAAGTACATAATGGAGCACCTGTTACCATTTAAAACCATTAAGTTTTGAATCAATTCTGGTAAAAGAAATTGTAAAATAAATTAGTCAGCATTAAACTCTGGTCTCTGGTAGTTTTTGACTTAGTGCTTAAGAGATGTAGCAAACTCATGAATATCCACTGAAATAATACATTTCTCATCAGATGCTTTAAAGTTTGAACACCACAAGAAATTCTACAGAATTTACAACTGTTATCTGAGACTCACCAAAACCAGAATCTGCAAATTTCTAACATATGTGACACATACGAAGGGGGACCCAAAAATAACCGGAAACGACCTGTTGCGCGCGCATGCTTTGTAGTTACAAGTTGTGCTGCTAGGTGGTGTTAGCTGGGGGTCTCCTGCGACTGTTAGTGAGCTGGCGTCAGTCTGAGTTAAGTGGTTTGTCTGTGGTGCTCTGTTGTGCGCGTTCCTGTTTCAACCCTTTGGCGATTAGTGAGATGGCCGACCAGAAGGAACAAAGAGTGTGGGTGAAATTTTGCTTTCTGTTAGGGAAAACTGCACTTCACTCTTCAAGTCACAGCAAACATTCACGCGGTTTTCTCTTTGGTCATCTCCGAGCAAGCGAGGAACACATTTTGCAGACACCCGTCTCATGTGCAAACCTTCGGTTAAAATTCGCTGGACCGTGCTCCATGAGATGTTCGTTTCCTCAGAAAGTTGGTCAATGGTCTTTCGACGATCTTCATCAATTTCACGCACACTCTTTGTTCCTTCTGTTCGGCCATCTCACTAATCGCCAAAGGGTTGAAACAGGAAAGCACACAACAGAGCACCACAGACAAACCACTTAACTCAGACTGATGCCAGCTCACTAACAGTCGTGGGAGACCCCCAGCTAACACCACCTAGCAGCACAACTCATAACTACAAAGCATGCATGCGCAACAGGTCGTTTCCTGTTATTTTTGGGTCCCCCTTCGTACATATGAGTGATCTAACTCCTCATATCAGGAACCATAACTTTCTATATAAAAAGAAAATACTTACTGCTGTGTTCTGTGTCCTGTATTTGACAACAGCAAATTGACATCTGGATGGAGAAAAAGAGGGATAGGATAATTAGAAATTGAAGTGATATAAGCAGTTTTAATCCAAATTTTAAGAATTAAATGACTTGTGACTGCATGCAGTTGAAAGGAATAGGTATACAGGGGAAGGGGCCAAGTGAAGCCACAGGAAATAGAGCAATGATTATTCATTTCACATTGACAGCAACAGAACAGAGTGAATGGTAAACTACATGCTGTTAAGTTTCAACATAACAGGTAGAATTGCAAGCTGGCTGAAAGGCCACACTAATGGATACAGAATGTGAAATGCTGAATATAGTTTAAATCCCTATCTTGTGATTCTATCATTCTTTATAACTAAATATCTGTTTTCTGCAGACAAAGATAATAATATAATGCACTTATATGTTTCCTACATTTTACTGAATAATCAGCAACTATTTCTATGTGGAGAAAATATTCAACAAAGATTGTGAAGAAACAGATAATATAATCATGGCAGTGTAATCTTAATTGTTTCTAAATTGTATATTCAGAATATTACCACACGTTTACAGATAAATCTGAAGCAAGTTGAAAACATTGTTACTGCTAGCTTCCCAGTAGGAGACAAGTTATTTATAGCTGTAGGCCCATATGAGTAGCTATAAATAGTGTTTGTTAAAACCAGGCTGCTTTGCTGTGTGCATTCAAAATGTTCCTACTACACTGATGTTAGATTCCTAGTGACATCTACAAATTATAAACTCTATAAAACCTTTATTCCAAATTCTAATAATAAAGAGTTGCCTGGGTGATATTAAAAATAAATTTTTTCTTTGTGAAAGAGTGAGCTATGTAATTGGCTACAAGCTTGGTGACTGGGTTCAATTCCCAGTGGGAGTAGAAATTATTCTGTATTCTGAAACATAACAGAAGAATCTCACTGAAAAATTGGCAGTGACTTATTAATAATAAAATTGTTGCATTAACAGCAGTTTTATTTGTATTATTGTATTAATGAATATTTCTCTTCATTTCAACATCTAAACTGTCCTATGGAACCAATCTACTATTCTATGGTCTGTTTTACTGTGTGTAAAAGTAGCTGGGACAGAAACTGACAACTCACCTCTTTCTACTGTTGAGGGAAAGCCTACTTCCACTGTTCAATATGCCTTCATGGTGTGGTGCTTAAGTACAGGGTCAGATTTATGTTTGAAGAAGTTCAGCCTTATTGTATTCTTCATATAAAACCATTTGTATAATTAACTGAAATGTAGGACCATTATCAAGGTTTCACTTTTGTAGGAAAGGAGAAGGGTACTAGACGGGGAAGGGAATTAACCAAATAGCTAATTCAATGAAGCAGCCCTTCCCCATATGGAAACTAAAAATGTATCATGTTCAGAGGAGCCTGCCAATGAACCTATATTGAGCCAGTCCACTCAGTCCATACCCTGCCACTCTATTTCTTTAACACCAATATTAACATTATCTTCCCATATACACCCTTGTCACGGAAATAGTCTTTTCCCCTTCAGGTTCTAAACCCAAATTTTGTATATATTTCTCGTGTTACCCATGTGTAGTGTAGGTCTCACCTGTCTCATCCTCTTTGATTTCATAATCCAAATTATATGTAGTGAAGAGTACAAATTATGAAGCTCCTCGTCATGCAATTATCTCCAGCCTCCTGTTACTTACTTCATCTTAGTTCCAAATATACTTGTTCATTGCATGAGTATAAAAATATTTAACAGTCTGCCTGATTATTTAACTAATTTAGTACATGATAAAAACAGTTTATAAAAGAAATATGGGATGTCCTAATACATAATCCGTCATATACTGTTGATGAATTTTTGCTCTTCTGTTGGTATCAACAGCTAATAGAAGGGGAGTGCATGCTGACTGATGGATGTCCCACAGTAGGCATCAATATAGACATTAAGTGTAAGTGTAAGTTAAGGAAGGAGAATTATTATGTATTGCTAATTATCTTGTTGGTATCTATTTAATTGAGGTATTCAGCTTAGATTTTAACTGTGGTCGAATTGATGTCTCTACGATTTTATCTGTGATTGTCTTGTGACTGTTGTTTGACAAGTTTTATTCAGTGCCAGTTGCACACTTATGAATACTCTGAAATGCTGATGTATGTATGTTACTATAAAGAATTTCTACATAAATATTTAAGTGACTATATATTTAGATTTCATGAAATTCTGGACGATAAATACAGCACTCAGAAGAGATCGTTACTTTTAGTGTGTTAATGTAGTACATTTGCTGGATTCTTAAAGAATGGCATTATAAACAGCAAATTTAACTTTCATATATGGTAATTAGTTATAAGGCTACATTTTGATTCTGATTTAAATAATGCAATCATTTAGACATTCATTAATTACGTTTGTTGCTATTGTTCTTTGCTGTCTGCACATGGAAGGAAACATGCATGACCTTAGTGCGATCAAAAGTCAAGAGTGATGCATGAAGCAGGGAGCCAAGAATGACAGGGAAGGGGGGAAGAAATGAGTTTGCAGAGTCCTTTCTTATGGTGGGAAAAAAACAGGAAATGTGCATGGTTATTGTGAGCTTCCACATATTTAACTGTGGGAAGAGCAACAGGTGAGCAACTATACAGTACCTCTTTTTGGCCTCATTTCTTTTTCTTTAGTTGAAAAGTTGTATCATTAATTCCCATGAAGCTGGGTTATTTCTAGAGATTTAAAGACTGGGTAGTGTAATACAGAACACTGGAATGTTTAGTCCTGACATATATCTACTAACAGTTCATGATACAGTCCTCTAAATATTTCTGAAATGTTCATTAATCAGTATATCTTGTTCAGAATCCTTTTACACTGTGTTCATAATGAGTATGTGATATTTAAGATGACACCAATTAGCTGCAGTGGAAGAGAACAACAAATAAAACACTCATACTGTCTGTTCACAATCAGACTCTACTTGTAATTGTTCTGAAACATCAACAAATCAGCATCTTGTTGATCTTCCCCTTACAGCTTCATAATTCTGTGCTATCCTCAATTAGTGTCTCATCCATTCCATGTAAGTGGTCTCTCCTTCACTTCCTCCCATAGAGTATGCAGATAAGAATCATGAAGAGTTGTGGTCTTCTAAGATGTAACACCATGCAGTTTGGAGAGATCCTGTCAATCTTTAAGAACATATCACCTCAATTTTCAGGGCTGAAACATAAGCCAAGGAAGATAACAACTATAGATATAACTTTAAATATTTTACTGATGCCAGAACTCTAGTGGCCTGATGCTATATAGATTACATACTCTGTATGACTGTATCTGTCTCTGATGGTTCAATATAGTGAAAGCCAGACTAGCCTTAAAAATGTGTTTGTGGTAATTCTAATTTCTAGGTCAATTTGATTTAGAATCAAAACTCTGTTAGTGTAATTAAAGTGTTGCTCTTGATGTGCAGCTGTATAAGTGCCTTTTATATCAATTGACATTTATGTGCCACGATGTTTTTTATGTGTAACTAGATGATATAGCAAAATGAGTGCAATGCAAGCAGATTCCAAGAATCCTCAACTAAAGACGAAGGACCTAGAAGAACTGAAATGTTGGCTAGGTACACAAGAACACTTACCACCTATTTCAGGTACAGTACTTCATTAATATTAATTATTCCTCATGTTGAAAGTAGTGAATTAATCAATAAAGGTCAAAATTCTGCTTGTGTTTGTTCATTGAGAACCTTAGATTGCATGAAAATTAATAGCTGTGAGACATGACATACATAGGGAGATTAAGATTTTACACCCTTGGTCATACTAGTTTTGTTGCCTTTGAACTCTTAGCTATAAATAGGTGTGCAACAAAATATATAATATGGAGTCAACAGGAAATTGTGGTAGGATAATTTAGTTGTAATTACAAATACAAGGCTGTATCTGTGCCTACCTGTTCTGCTTGAATAAGGTAGATAAAAAATTTGCTGAACACATAAAACTCAACAGTTTTTACTCTTACCACTATTAAACACAAAAATGTATTTTACATTTATATCTACTAAGTTGTATTTTAAATATTACATTAAATGTTCCAAGTCCAGTGCTTATGGTATGGTAATTCTGAAGTCACAGAATTGGTTGTTGAAAACTCAAAACAGCTTCCTCTGAGATTCCTTAACAGCAAAGAATCAATGATATCTGTGCAGTCAAGAACTCATGTGAGTTCTGATTCAATATTAGGGTAGATAAACAGCTGAAACAATTCTCTGATGTCACTAAACATACATAGTACCTTGGTCGTTGTGGTACAGAGAAAAATCTTTCAGCAGAAGAGTTGGAAGACAGCACACATAGGAAGATCCTGAATGCATTATCAACATGTGGGTATAGACAGTGTCACGTAACTTCGAACAAGGCCCTGCATTCCTAGTCAAGTCCTGCGCATAGCTCATTCTTCCACTGGCTGCCTGTCACTTCTCACACCCTCCACCCCCTTGTCTGACATTTTTCTTCTGCACATTCAAGGTTACTCTTGGCCTTGTTTGAAGTTACGTGACACTTGCTATAAACATCTTTTAATTTTTATGCCTGGTTCATAACACTTATCTCAAGAATGCTCGAAGGAGTCTTCTCCAAATTCAGAAGAAATCCACAGACATGAAAACACTTATAAACAAATGATTCTTCTGAGTCATCCTTGTAGAAATGCATTAGTTGCAGTTGAATAAAGTTTGTTCCTAATTCCCATTACAAATCCACTAGATTTAGTGGCTTGTTGCCATAGCTGGCAATACTGGCTTCTTCCACTCCACTTCACTTGCTCCTTCAATATAGTCATATTATTAGCATTGATAGCTGTTATTCAGATAATCTTTTTTCTCACTGGTAACCCATTTTTCCTCAAAAATTTTCCTGCCACCAAAGTTTCCACCACTACAAATTTGCCTGATGGTATAGCATCAGGGTATGCAGAGTATATACCGTGCATCCCACTTCTCCTCAGAGTTATTTTGTTTTGCACACATATACTGATTTCAGTGAGAATGTCATACAATTCTTCTTTCCTGACTGGATCATAGACTCCCAATCTATAATGAGCTTATGAACTGCACATATACTTTTATTTTTGGTACAGTATCTGAAGAACGCAGAATATCTGATCAGCAGTCAATATGTTACACCATGAACACTGGAATTCCCAATAATTAATTTATGAATTTAATTTACAAATGCTTGTAAAGTATGTGAATTAAAATATTATTCATTTCCTGAAGGAGGGAATATTCATGTATGTGTTTAATATTTGCAAGAATATATCACTACGTTTGCAGCAGAGAATGAAAGGTGAAAAACATCTATTATGGGACTATTCATTTAGATCAGACACTAAATCTCTTCCACAACAATCACTGATCTATCACCAATTTCCACAAGAAATAATTTCACTGAATGATTGAGAACGTCTTTAACCCTTTGACTGACAAGCTCTGCAACTGAACTACCTGCCAGAAATATCAAGACTGCTTGGCGATAAATGCAGTTGTACAAACTACATTACTTCCTTAAATTGCTTGCAAATGACCACAGGTATAGATCATCTGAAAGCCTATTCTTTACTCTAAATATCCATATGTGACATCTGATGACAACTATTGACAGATATGCTGTACTGATTTATTCATTATGAGCTAATCTGTTTGAAAGTTACAATGCAAGTACCCCAGGCCAATCTAATCAGCCCGTAATGTACATGGGGCTGAAGGTCATCATGTTTTCCATTGGTTTTGATTTGTGCATTCACTGACTGATTTTCTGTCTGTCTCCACAGCTGACTTGAAATGAAAGTCTTACATACTGAACAGTATGATGTTGTTTCTTACCATGTTATTGTTACTTTAAAAAAAATGCCTGAAATGTTTGACAAAAAAAGTAATTTTCAAATAGCATTATCCCATCGGTGTAACTAAGAAGCTCAGCTATCATAAATAATACTAGTCATTAAAGGAAGTAGTGAACTAAAAGTACTGAATTGGAACTGATGCTGAAATCATATATTCAGATCTCTGTCATACTGTCTGCATGACTCTTCTACCATGAAAATGCCAGTCTTCAAATTTCTATACTGTGCAACTCACTATAGCAATAACTGATCTACTGTCTGCATGACTCTTCTACCATGAAAATGCCAGTCTGCACATTTCTATACTGTGCAACTCACTATAATAATAATAACTGATCTACTGTCTGCATGACTCTTCTACCATGAAAATGCCAGTCTTCAAATTTCTATACTGTGCAACTCACTATAGCAATAACTGATCTACTGTCTGCATGACTCTTCTACCATGAAAACACCAGTCTTCAAATTTCTATACTGTGCAACTCACTATAGCAATAACTGATCTACTGTCTGCATGACTCTTCTACCATGAAAACACCAGTCTGCACAGTTCTATATTGTGCAACTCACTATAGCAAGAATGGATCTACCACTGTGTGATTTGCATTTGTTCCCAAGTCTGAAAATGGAGCTTCCCTGTGGCTGATGAATTCTGCACTGCCACAACAAAAGAGGGCATTTAACAAGTAGGTGGAACATTGGAAGGAACATTATTGCATTTTATGAGTTTATTTCAAAGGAAAACAAAATGCTATTTCAGAGCATCAGTTGCAAGTACACAGAAGTTGTAGGTTTTCATGGTTGTGAGTGTTCAGATTATGGACCTCTGGGCTGTGACACCATGTAGTTTTGCAGGTGGATCCCAGTGTTTTAGAGGAACATACTGCCTCCATCTTTTGAGTCAAAGAAATATCTGCCTTCAGGACAGCAGGTTCCTCTAAAATATGGGCATCCACCTATAAGACTACTCATTTCTAAGTAATATGTACTGAATATAAACCTAAGCTGAAGGTATTTGAGAACAGGATGCTGAGGAGAATATTTGGAACAAGAAAAGATAAAATTGTAGGTTAGAAAAAAAAAACTGCATCATGAGGAGCTTAATAACTTGTGCTCTTCGCCAAATATAATTAGAATGGTTAAGTCGCGGAGGATGAGATGGGCAAAGAATGTAGCATGCATGGGGCAAAACGAATGCATATAGTTTTAGTTCAAAAGCCAGAAGGAAAGAGACCACTAGGAGGACCTATATATAGGTGTGAGAATATTAAGATGGATCTTAGAGAGCTAGGATGAGGTGATATGACTGGATTGATCTGGCTCAGGATAGGGACCAGTGGAAGACTCCTGTGAACAGGGTAATGAACTTTCAGCTTCCATAAAATGTTGGGAAATTCTTGAGTAACCACATAACTGGAGGCTTCTAAAAAATACTTGGCTCCATAAACGTAGTTATAAAAGTAACAGAATACAAACTCTGATAGGGCTCTTGGATGGACGTGTTAATGATTGATTGAATATGCAACAAATTACATTTTTTTAATTTACTCATGGCTATAAATATTATTCAGGAATTTAATTAATATTTCCTTTTATTACAGAAGAGCACCTAATAATGTTCCTACACAGCTGCTATTATGATGTTGCTCGGACTATGGACTGCATTGAGACATATTATACTATAAGGACCAATATTCCAGAAATATTTACTAACAGAGATTTGAAACGTATAGAAAATCAAAAAATGTTGGCAGTTTTGTAAGTATAGTGCTTGGTTTACATTTATTTATATGTTGTTCACTTACAGCATTAAATATGTTTAGACTTATTTTGTGCATTATAACAGAAAATTAGGTACTTGCTTAATAATTTATAACCATTCATTGCAGTGGTCAATGGAAATTCCAGAGAAAAACATTTTGGTATGCTCTTGAATACATCTGACATTCTTTGCCACTCACTTATAATTATGTCTTGTGAGTTGTTATTTGTATTCAGATTAGAGTGGATTAGAAGAGTGGGCATTGAATGACCCTTATACCATGACTGTCTCTGATCTGTTGGGCTTTAAGAGAAGTATAGTACCTTCCTTAATGGGGCCTCCTGACAGTCAGTTGACTTCATGAAATTGAGTCCTAGGTGACAACACCATAATTCAGCTAGAACCACACGGCAACATAGGATATGTGAGACTGTTTCATCTTCATGGTAGTACCTTTCACAGGTGAGAACTATTTATTAGTTCCAGTCTGACAAGGTATCCTTTCAAGTGATGTGTCCTGTAAATTGCCTTTTCAGATGGCTTAACTGATTCCTGTTTAGCTGTGATAGTTCCGTAATTCTACTGGCAGAGGATTCCATAGGAAGCCTCTTGCACGTTTTTGCCAGTGTATAGACCACCAGCGTTTTTGCTGGTCTCATCAAATCCAAGAGAGTCCTCTTAGCAACTGTCTCAAACATATCACATGCTGTTTAGCTTTCTGTAAAAAAATGTCCAAATTCAGCTACGGACAACTGATCAGCAATTTCATTTCCTTCAGCCCTTCAGTGTCCTGGCACCCATGTCTTATATTTAGAGAGTTTCATTAGAGATTGATGGCAATTCCAGACCAGTTCAGAATTAATCTCATAATACTCAGTAATCAAAGTATGACTGCCTGATAGAATATATTCGTAGAGTGGGTGTCTCTGTTTTTATAAACTGTCAGTATTCCCTGCTACAAATGCCTTAATGGCATATACTCCCGCCTTTAATACTGTAGGACACCCAAAGACTGGAACTAATCTTTTTCCATATGCAAGCCTACACACCCTAGCACCAACATCTTTACTAATATTGGACCAGAATATAGGAAAATATGAATATATCCATATGCCGAAGACACTAAAAATATAGCATACAGCTTCATATTATTGCTGATTTTAATGGTTTAAATGTTTCTACAGTCCAGCTAACCTAAGACTGACTGATCATTTTTCTGTATAGGTATCAGTCTTCCATGAACAGCTCTGTCTTCTGGGATATAATGCTGTGTAATTTGTTGAAAGCCAACCGACTTTTCAGAAGAACATATCACCTCTATCTTCGGGTCAAAGAATAAGCCAAGTAGGAAACCAGCATGAAGCACATACCAAGCAGATCTCTGGCATTGTATTCTGGAAGACAGAACTCTTCATAACCACTGCTCTGAGACATCAAATCCTACATCCCCTGTTAATTTTACATAGTTACATGTCCAGATACGGTGGCCCCTTGTGCATCCCACAGATCTTTTAGTTTTCCTAATTTGCTTATGTTAAGGATCCCAGTCATGTGTTATTATGGTCCTATTAATCAGCTTTGTTGCTTGAGATTTCAGTCCGTCAGTTGTTTATTGTACAAAGCACAATCTATGGTGAGTGACTGATTCTGGGCTGACAGGTTTGGTGATGGGGCAGAAGGATTGGTTTGTTACAATTGGTCAACAGCCAGTCTACATCTTGCACCAACTGAATATTTTGCAGATATACTTTTAGGTCATCTTCAAAAGATTCCCATTTATTTTTTGGGGGGGTCCCTGAATGTAACTCCAGTTAGTTAATTGATGTCTTCCTGAAAGCATATATATCTGTGATCTGTCAATGAAGGCTTATCAGATACATGCCAAACATTCATTAGCTTACCTACTTCACTGGTCCTTAGTGTCAGGTCTGTAACTCCCATCATGTTTCAAATCGTAAAGGGAGTTTTTTTTTTATCTCAATTAATTATATTCAGGCTTGAGCTCATCAAATATTCCATTATGCTTTCTCCTCTTGGATTGGTGCCAGTGCTTACTTGTTAGTATGTACTGGCATCACATCCAATGTTAATTTCCTGTCTCTTGCTGCTGCAATATCTGATGTAACTTATACCATGGTTGGTGGCAGTCTGTCCAAGTCACACTGAAGGTACGCTGACATCAGAGTAAGTTCCTTCTGGATTCACTGATGTATGTTATCCTTACCGTTGTAACATCCCTAGGATAGAGATCTAACATGAACAAGGTATTCGTTTTTATTGCTAACATAAATTCTGGATCTTGAATTGTTATTAGGTGTGAAAGACAATATTATTCCTTCAGAGGTAGCTAGTCCACTTTCTTGGCTCTCAAGGGCTTCCAAAAAAGTGTTATATCCACCTAATATACAGCAGTTATCTGGTAATGAACTGTCACTGCTGCCTTACTATGGCATACGTTCATCTCAATTGATTTCATAGTACGTTTCTTATAGTTGGCAAATCAGTGCCCTTGGTTGCTTCCTTGACCTTTAGAGGGTGCATTCCAAATTTATCAGCTACCTACTGAGGAGCATTTTCCTTCTTTGCTTGCTGGCATCTCTCTCTCTAAGAGTCCCTACAATTTAGTCTTTATAATTTTGGTGTCCATTTTGGTCTTATGATTTAGGGGGGAAATATTACCAGTGGCATTGCCCAATATGGGTGCAAGGCATACATACAACAGAATGTTGCTCAGTGTCCTGAGGGGGGGGGTCATTCATGACACTATCATCTCCACTCCATGCAGTCCTTGTCATTATAACTTACGTCTTTGCCTTGGTGAACCAGGGGTCTATTTGTCATCCTTTCAGATGTTACCATCATCCACAATATGGGTATCATAACTTGGATTTGAAGGGATGTTATTTATATTTGCTGATTACAGCTGTGTTTTATGGGACAGTTTTACAGTAAAAATATATAACTGTTTTATTTTATTTTCAAAATTCTAAAACAGTCCTGATGCAAACCCTGATGGACTTCAAATGTTATCCCACAACAGTAAGCAGAAGATACACATACATGCGAACTGCATGTGTTCATGGCAAAACATTTCCAAGTGATACTTTGTCAGCTGGTAAGTGCTAAAACTATTTGATATTTTAGAGAGTAATAATAAATTATGATTGTTCCAGAAACTACATACAGCTTCCTGTTAGAGATCCAAATGGCCATCACATTATATTTCACAGTCTAAAGGAAAATGAGCCTTCAAAATACTGCTTCAGTGATGCTGCCAGAATATATTTTATGATGGCCGATATGTGCATCCAACGTGACAGCACATCACCTGGCACTATTATCGTATTTGATGCCAAGGGTTTCAAGTTTGGACATATCATCAGATTAAATCTCTCTTTAGTACATAAGATACTCACCTATGTCCAGGTTATTTTCATTTTAAGACAAATTTACTGTAAGCAATGAATCTAAGAGGCTCTAGGTCCTACTCCATGGATTTACTAACAACCTGTAGTATGCACTGTTAATATAGCTGTACTTGCCAGATTATTTGAAGAAGGCACCTAGTGCAAACCTGTAGTATATATGGAGTATTCTGTCAGGAGGAAGCCATGTTTTCTTCTACAGTAACAAGTTTTTGATGTACAAATAGATGTTGGGTCATTCCATGTCACATGAACATATCTTACATTCTCGCCTACTTTTGTATGCAAACTTTGATAACTGTGTTTTCATGATTTCAGGACATATTGTCTTCAAAACTTCTAAAATTATGGAAATTTATTTTATGACTAATCATAAATTTGATTCTAACTCTTGTTTTACTTGGCATATAGAGCTGAAATTGTGCTTGTTTTAAATTAATCCACAATTTTAAAAATCTGAAAAAATGTTATGTTTCAGGTTAATACTTGTGTGATATGCTATGGCAGTCTGAAGATATATTACTAACAACATTTTAAGGAATTAGATATTTTGTTGTTTTCTTACAGGACACAAGCACTGGTCATGACATGTACAAGTAGTCAAATTTTGCAGTTATTTTAAATTTTGAAATGACAAAAATTTCAAAAATATTTCAGATCCATGTCTTCCATTTTTAATACATTAATTTTTAATGTCTGATAGCATGTATTTCAAATTTCAATAACATCAGAGAAGATAAGGTTGATTTGACATGGAATGATCTTACTAAAATGGCATTTGGCTCAATGCCATGTGCACCATTTAGGCTTGAGAATGTCTTCATTTTGAAATACAGTCAGACTTCCTCTATAATGACACTGATCTTGGCTTTATAATTAGGATGGCAGTATCTGCTTCCATAAAAACTTAATATAGATTTTTAAGTAAATAAACTGTTAGTGAATCCTGTTTGTTCTGAGTTTGTGAATGCATAGTAAAATGTACGTAAAGAAGTCTAGCACATTTAGGTTTTCAATTGAAAATTTCCAGTGTGGTTCAGGGTTATTTGTTATTGTAATTCATGTCACAGTCACTGATTGCTTTTACTAGTGGCATCAGTAGGGAACAGTTTAGACATATAGATATAAATATTTCAAAACAGGTTAAAAAATATGGTAGCAAAGTTTATATGTTTGGAAAAATCGCCATACTGCAGGAGTATAGCAATGAATTTCCAACCAGATCCATATGTATTTACTCAGAAAATTACTTTGTTCCTGGCCTTTGACCATCATCTATAATTCTGAACAGACCAGAGTAGTTCAGAAACTGTATCTTTCTCCTTCATCATATGAGAAGATGGGGAGTTACTTACTTTGATTTGAGTTCTATCATCTGTGATATAATTCCATATTGTCTATTGAAAGTTAACCAGTGTTTTGATGGAATATATCACCTCCATTTTCAGGGTCAAGGGGTAAGCTAAAGTTAGAAATCAGCATGAAGCAAGCAGCAACCACAATCAGTGCTGGTGTTATGATGCTGGATGCAGTGGTGCAAGCTGATGCTGTGCTTTGTCATGGCTGACTTATCCCAGTGTTCTAGCTGGTTATGCTGATGGTGTTCCTTTAACTTGGTGCCACCTGAACAACCTCTCTGTCTAATATGGTCCTGCCCACACTCACAGGGGATACTACACACTCTTGGCAGCCTAAGTTCCATGTTGTCTTTGACCAGCCAAAGGAACCTAGCCATTTTCCTCGGTGGAAGGTCAACCAGCTTGAAGTGCCAGGACAGTATCAAGCTAAAGTGATTGAAAACTGACCAAACATAACACAGTAAGGTGACAGAATATTGCTTGTCTTTGGGCACAGCAACCCCATGGGAGGGTTACAGTGCTAGAATTCTTCCTGGAAGTGACAATCAGAAACTCCTGTTCAAAGATCTTTGGCCATCTGCACCACTGGAAAATGTGACATGCTTGCTGGATGGGTGGTAACGAGAACTGTCGCTAACCTTTCAATGCCACTGGGCATTAAAATTCCTACTCACTCCTTGGGTTGGAGGATATTTAAAGCGGAGAATGCAACATGTCACTTAAAGTGTAATAAATGGCAAAAAAACTGGAGTTTTGTTTTTCAGATTTTCACAATACGTTCAGAAAAGTATATATAGAATCGGAGTACTGATCTACACTACTTTAAAATTGTTTTTGGCACAGTAAGCTTATAAAATTATGAATAGTATCATATCACCTTAGAAATTCAGCTGTGTGAGGTAGTCGTGAAAACACTCAATGCAGAGTCCCATGCCCCATGTCACACCAGTACATAGTGCCCTTCTTCTCCCCTTGCTTCTGGCATACAACACACAGTTTTTGCAGTCTTGATTTCTCTGTTGTTGGTGGAATCCTGCTTATAAATTTCATTCAATTAGATGGGGCACTGTGTTGTCTGATAAATGTCAACCAGGCACTTTGTGTTCTACAGCATTTGCATATTTCACAGAAAGTCCTTCAGTCAACTGAATTCTGAATGACAACTGATTTATTTTTGTGCCAGTGATACTCCTACATATTATTGCATTCAGAATTGAGGTGTTCAAGAGCCTGTGAAATAGCTTCATATACCATTTATTCATACACTTCCTCTCAATCAAATAAGAGTGAAGCAGCTAGTATTTCAAATCGACCCCTATCACTGATTTGTTGTAGTCCAATACTGAACTGGTTTGACCACTTCCTTGTCTCGAATTGTAACAGGGTCACGATTTTTTTGTTGCACCACTTTGTGACAGAAACAGGTTCAGAAAGCTGTGCCACTATTTCACTTTTTTGTGTGTTTTTCACTTTTGCGGTTCAAATTGAGAGTCCCAACACAGTCAGTCTTGTGTGTGATTTTCAGTAGCCTGGCTAGGGATGATGAATTATAGAAATTATCCATCCACACTTCTGACCTTGTTTCAGAAGAGGTTCTACCAATTTCAGGACAATGGCTGTTGTTTTACTGGTGTCAGCTGTGATCAAGGGCATCAAGGGGGATTCTAGTTCTGTATCCTTGCCAGTAAATACAAGGACCATAAATACCCTGTGGTGGAGTCACACAGCTCATAAGTTTTTATTCCAAATTTGGATGCTTTGTGAGGGAGGTACTGTTTGAAAGAAAGACGGCCTTTCCAGAGTGTCAATGATTCATGAATTGAAATGTCCTGGTTTGGGATATACAGTTCCTGAAATCTGTTATTACGACGTGAAATTATTGGGAACATTTTTTTTTAAGTTTCTATGGTCCTTCAAAATTGCTGATGGTATCATTGTAAGCGAAATACAAACATCTACATATTAATTCCAATTTGTCTCGTGTCGTAACCTCTCTAAATCCTGATGTGGAAATCACTCGTTTGGTTGTAAAATATGACCTAGGGGTAGATTTTTGAATAATGCCCATGAGCATAAACATACCCAATACAACACAAATCTCTCCCTCTGTTACAGGTTTCCAAACCCTAGCAGGCGACCTGACTTATAGTTTGCGCCCCTTGTATCTGTTCTTTCACAGTAGTGTCAATTAGTTTTTTGTTGAAAAACCATTTAAAAACGTCTACAATTTCCGTAACATGTACTGCAGCACCTCGAGGTCCAACACTGCCCGTGAAATTTTCCCGTTGTGTCCTATAGTTCTCCATATTCTCCCAAATTAAGTCTTTTGAGTAGCACTGTCATCTTCATGACTGCCCTCATTTCTCACAGTATCAAGCAAAGCACGATCTTCCAATTCATTTTCTGTGTCAAAATCTAAATCTGACAAATTTTACTCGGAATCGCTTTGAAGTAAACATTCTAACTGGTCGTCACCGAACACAGCTTAACGCTATTAGCCTATTTTCTACACGTGGTTTCTCCATTTCTCGTGGTCCGCGTGCTTTCCTAATTCCAATCTAGAACTAAAACAACTAGCAGCAGCACTTGTCATATTCTGCTTCCAAAGAATCGACTATTGATTCGACCAACACGCTGGGAATGCACACACTATCGATCTGTCATATTTAGTTCATAAGAATTCCCCAAGATAGGGGTAGGTATGTACGGCAATGCAGCGTACTAGCCATTGATGTACAAAATTTCTTCAAATACAAATACCGCGGGAAGTTCAAAGTGGGACAACAGATATACGAAATGATAACCGGCAATTTCGTCTTTAATTTCATATCAAAAGAATTATTTCACGCAAAAAAAAATAACAGTTCAAAATACGGTCTGAAACTTAGCGCAGCACTACGTAACCGCGGGAAGTTCAAAGTGGGACAACAGATATACGAAATGATAACTGGCAATTTCGTCTTTAATTTCATATCAAAAGAATTATTGCACGCAAAAAAAAATAACAGTTCAAAATACGGTCTGAAACTTAGGGCAGCACTACGTGTGCCAGGTACGGACTTAGGCGACACGTGACAGATGGCCCAGAGAGCCATTTAGTTTCCTAGAAATATTCATGTCTGTGAAGAGAAGACGGCCGTTTCTTTCCATTTACACGATGACTCAAATGTTGTGATGAACACTGTTCAGGTAGTTAAGGAAGTCCCTCAGCCTGTCAGGCCCATGGGACTATGTGATGAAATTGTCATCCACATAATGGAAGCAGCAGAGAGGCTTGTGAATTGTACAGTCAAACACCACCTCTTTAAAGTCAACTGTGAAAATGTTGGCTTTGCTTGCAGCCTGCTTCATGCTGGTTTCTTGTTTATCTTGCTCTTTAGAACTGAGGATGGAGGTGATACTTCCTCTGAAATGTCAGATTACATGGTGTTACATACCAGAAGATAAAACGCGTCTGCTTGCTCAGTTCTTTCCATTAAAAAGAGTTAGTCTCAGCTATCTTTACACTTGAGGAAAGAAGAATATTTTCACATATTAGTGACTAGACATGGGGTTTGGATTGGTAATTAGATATATTGAACATTTATATATTGTAACTATACGTAATGATAACGCTCTTAGTAATTCATGCACTTACTTCTCCATACAGTTTGTAGACTATAGCACACGTTAATTCTTCTCAGTTTGCTATGTCTTCACCAGTTGTTGCCTGGTAATGGGTCCCAGCAATGACCTCTGCTTCTGTGCTGGTGTTCTTGCTGGCTGGTGACTGTCTCACAATTCACTTACGGCTGCAAAAACTCACATTCTTGACTAATTCTGAGTCAAAGTCAGAGTTACTTTACAATTGGCATTTTACCACCAATCAGTTCGACTTGGCGCTAAGTCCCTTGAGACTATTATCAGTAATTTTTTCAAATAACACTTGCAGTTATAATCCTTATGTAACATCTTCCCTGATGAGAGGATGGGTCTATTGTTTACAATTGCTGCTGGACCTTGCCAAGGCAGTCATTCTCAGGTCCGCATCACGCAGTACTCATGATTGTATTTTATTATCTGAGATTGAGACTCCCCTAACCTGGAGGGCCAGGTCCCTGTATTTATATCCTCCAGGAACAGGGTGGCTCAGTTTTATTCCGAGGCATTGGGTTCCCTTTTCATCGCCTCCTCTGACTTGCAGGGCTACGGTGGAGGTATTTGAACCCACCTCCACACAGGCTCTCCTTTTATGAATTCAGCACGGACCCTATAGAGAACACCATTTCCAGCAGTTCTTCTATTTTTGTGTACATATATGTTGCTGCAGATATTACGCAAGGGACAAATTCTTCTGGCTCCATTATTCAAGCTTTCAGGTGTCATGTCACAATATCCAGTTTCTGAAATTTTGCATTTTGTTCAGGATACTAAGAACAGAAATCAAATAATACTAAGTATAATATACTACAGTACTGTAGCATGTAGAGCTGTTGCTAGGCAATGGATCTGTAAACAACGGCCATTACTAGGAAATGGACACAACAGACACGCACACAACAACAGAACTGTTGGGAGAGGTGTTCTCGATGCAGTCCTTGCATAGTCTACATGAGGAGTCGATTGTACGTTGTGAGTAAATTGAGAGTCCAGCAGTTGGAAGCCAGTTATTTCAGCGTGTGAGTTGTAGTGAGAGAGGTGACAGCTGACGAGAACATGAAGCCATGAATAGGGAAACTGAGGGATCTATGGCATTGGCAGCTGTTACCAGACAATGACTGGTGAAGACACAGCAGACTGAAAAGACTTCGTATGTGCTGTAGTGAACTGCAGAGTGTGGGAATTAGCTTTAGCACTACAGCTATTTGTAGTTACATTCTGTAAGTGTTTAATAAATCCAATTGCCAATCCAAATCACGTGTATAGTCATTCCATATATGTGACAATATTATAATCCAACATTCTATTGCAGTAATGAGATAATTTTATTGTTTAAAATTTCATTTTCATGCAGTTTTCGTGAATGATAGTGAAGAAGAATCATGTGACTACCAAGCATTAATGAGAAGTTTTAGAAATAGAATTTTAAATAGTGAAAGTAATATACCATCATCAAAACCATTTTGAATTGGAAAATTAACTCTGTTAATGCAATCAGTGCCCTTCATTTGGCATACATCAGAAAAATAAACTTTATTTTTGAAATTATCAGAAGCCATAAAAATAATGTTTTGAGTGTAATGGGAGTAACATCAATATTTTTATGCTGATATATTTGAAGTGGCCCAGTTGTGGTGTCAGAAGAAGTGTAAGGTGAAAGCAGCTAATTTTCCCGAAACATCGGTAACACTTTACCAGACTGCATGGCATCATGTTCCCGAAGACCCCAAAATATTAGACTGAAATAGCTGTTACAAGTAAAATATGGGGCAACCTAGTGAATTTCATAGTCCATTATAGATCAGTTTTGGACGCTGTCATGAAAGATCCTTGCTTAATGTCACATTGTCAATATAAACTTTTTACTTTTAGTTTATCTATCAGTACTCATCATTTCATTAAAATAATTATTTATTATATTACTGTAATATTTTTGCAGTTTTTACTTGATGCATTGCAGGAAGGATTGCCTGTACGACTGAAGGGCATTCATGTATTAAATACAGCAGCTTTTGTGGATCATCTCATGCGCCTCATTAAACCTTTCTTGAGTAAAGAACTTCAAAAACTGGTATGTTAAATAATGCAAACAATTGTGTGTACATGTCCTGTTATTGTACTCTAAACTTTACTGCAACAAATTTGTAACTAACTTCAAGGAGGTGAGTCTTTCTTGGGAAGCTGCTAGTTGCTCAACTACTCAAGAATTCCCAACATCTTACGAAATGTGAAGGTTCATTTCCACAAAAGCCCTCCACTAGCTCCTATCCTGAGACAGATGAATCCAGTCCAAAAATGTCACAGGGAATGAAAAGGAAATGATCATGTCATGTAGATATAACTGGTAGAGATACCTTTATTTCATAGTTTTGTGATTTATTTATTGTTTATTTAACATCAGTAGTGTAGACTACAAAACATAAAATGGTAGGATGATTAGTGAGTAATGAACTGGAAAGGATGTGGGCTGTAGCATCTGTTGCCTAATCTATGATGGTACGATGCCATTTCCCTGGAGGGACTGAGTAAAACCACACAAACCTGAGTCAGCATCCCAACTGAGATTCAAAGTAGTCAGCTGATGAATAGAAGTCAGAAGCATTACTGCTTGAGACAACTTGCTCAGTCAGTGCAGTAATTTAGTAGGAGAATATGATGGAGAAATAGCATTTCAGTATATATGAGGTGTATTGGAAAGTTCCTGGGATAGGTCAAAAAAGAAATGCTCGCTTAACTTGCTCAATTTTGTCTGCCATCTCCTTCAAAACAGTCTCGTTGGGAATGTATGCAGGGAGCCCATCGTTTTTTCCACTCTTCGAAAGCTCCATGAAGTCGTTTTCCTCAATGCTGTCAAGTATGGCTTGTGATTTCCTTTGCATGTCAGATATTGTTTCAAAAGTCGTCCTTTCAGTCTCATTTTCAATTTGGGAAACAAAGCGAAATCATAGGGGTTAAGTCCGGCAAGTAGGGAGGATGGAGAATGGCAACCATGCTGTTTTTAGTTACAAATTCCGTGGTTTTCAAAGACGTGTGGGAGGGTGCATTTCCATGATCATATGCTGGTCTTTCTTTTTTCTCCTGCAACAGAGTGCTTTTACTTACAAAATATCTTCACTCATAGTTTTATTTTCATTTTCTTGTAACGCTGTTATTATTAACTTTGCACGTGCTTTTGGAGATCTCTTGTGATATGAATCTAGAGGACTATTTCCACACATAATCATGTGATTGTAATATGATTGACTTATGGTGAGGCAGACTTCAACATCTCCGGATTCTTGTAGAGCTCATGTATTCCCCTCTGCGTTTTAATGCTTCATCTGCTGAGAAACTATGCCTATTTGACAGCTCCACTCATCCTCCACTAACCTGCTCTCCCATACTTAGTGTTACAACAGCTTGGGCTATATTCCTTGCATTGAACCCATTCAACAATCACGCAACAACAGCAACAACAACAACAACAACAACAACAACAAAACACTTGAGTTAAGACATCCATGAATTAACAGTTACACCACTCTGTTAATTTTAATCACAACCAGAGAATCCAGTGGACATTAGCAGTTAATTCACCAGAGGTCCATTAAAACAATTACCACTATGAGTCCTGTGATTATGAAAGCATCTCGATCTAAAGATTTTGATGAATTTAAATCTTTTCAGCACGCTTATTATGAAAAAGTGTGTTTTGAAATGCTCTTTATACGTACTGGTTGATATGTGCCTCATCAGCGCCTAAATGGTTGGATGGATTTTATTTATTATAGACAGTGTTCAAGAGTTTTTTCTTGATAGGTGAATACCCAGTCACTAGCAACAGTCTACTGAGCAACATCTGATTTTGTTTTCAAGGTAACATAATCATGGTTACTTGTACATGAGGAAGTATATGCATTGTCTTTGTGCCAATTAAAAAAAAATCACTTTATATGAACTGTTGTTCATTGTATTTATATACTTAAATGGAGCAGAAGAGTTCCTTTAACTCCACTAATTTGTAATATTGCTTTGAACAGATTTTGCTATTTTTTGGTTCCAGATTCATTTCCATACAGGCAATAATGAATCCATCTATGAACATTTGCCAAAGAGATGCTTGCCTCAAGATTTTGGTGGAGAACTTCCAACGGTTGCAGAATTAAATGGTATTTATTTGAATGTAGTTACAAGTATATACTCATTCTTCAGCAATGTAAAATACATTTTATTCAAAATTTGTTCAAATTAGAGGAATCTCTGTATTGAGCTCAGCATACAAAATGTATATGGAAATAAGAAACATTAAATTACAGCCTACAGAAGAACAATGCAGTTTCCAAAAAGGTACATTACGCATATATAGACATACATGTCATTAAGAAAGAAATATTGGGAAAGAGCAGAGAATATAATCACACGTAGGAGTGACTATAGATGGGGGTTGGATTGGTAATTGGATATATTGAACACTTACAGATTGTAACTACAAGTAACTATAGCACTAACACTATTTCATACACACATTCTGCAGTTCACTACAGCACATACTTAATTCTTCTCAGCCTGCTGTGTCTTCACCAGTTTTTTGGTAATGGCAATCAATGACAGACGCTCCCTTTCATCTGGGTTTCCAAACTGTCTCCATGCCTCAGCTACCAGCTTCTAACATCAACAGCTCACAAGGAATGAAATACAGCAGTTCTCTAACTCACTCACTCACCAACCAACACATTCCACTCTACTAACTAACGCACAAAACTAGACCTCCCAGTCTGGTGGACATCTCACACTAACCTCCTGCTCTTCTCACTGTCATCTCAAAACTCTCTTCTAAGACAGAGTCAAAGTCAAAATCAAAGCCACATTGTGACTAATGAGCAGGCAGTCAATAAGTCTTGGTGTCGAGCCCCACAGTCTTGTTGTCTGTGGGGCACCCTCTCTGACAAGAGGATAGGTCTGTCGTTTGTACATGCTGACGGCCCTTGCCAGCANAACACATTCCACTCTACTAACTAACGCACAAAACTAGACCTCCCAGTTTGGTGGACACCTCACACTAACCTCCTGCTCTTCTCACTGTCATCTCAGAACTCTCTTCTAAGTCAGAGTCAAAGTCAAAATCAAAGCCACATTGTGACTAATGGGCAGGCAGTCAATAAGTCTTGGTGTCAAGCCCCACAGTCTTGTTTTCTGTGGGGCACCCTCTCTGACAAGAGGATAGGTCTATCGTTTGTACATGCTGACGGCCCTTGCCAGCGCAGTCTTTCTCGGGTTCGAGTCCCTTGGGACTCATGACCATATTTTACTGTCTCAGATTTGAGACTTCCCTTTTTTGTCATCTCCTATGACTCACAGGGTCACGGTGGAGGTATTCAACCTTGCCTCCACATAGGGTTTGTTCTCTTTGCAGTCCATGCTGAGGCTAAATAACGAGGGCCAGCTTCCATTATAAGAGAATCACCTGTGTGTCAAGTGATTCTCTTCTAGTCAGAGTTACTTTATGACTGACAGTTTACTTCCAAACAGTTTGTCTTGGCATCAGGTCCTTTGAGGCCCTCCTAATGGCAGCTGGCCTTCGTTATATAGCCTCAGCACAGACTGCACAGAGAACACAGCTTCCAACAGCTCTTCTCTTAGAGTCAATTAGTTTCTTACAATCTCCAATGTAAAATTAATAATCTTTAAAATTTATTAAAAGATATTCCCTTTATAAGAGTTCTATACTACACGCTTCAAACAACGTGGTCATCATCAGGTGTTAAAATTCTTCTGTTTTGATGCTTAGGTTGTTAATACGTAAGCCCCCTCAATGGCCATGTGTGTTTGAGGTAGTGAGTTATGTTCCCTCCTGTTGTGCGTTGTGATGTGTGTCTTGTCTTCAGATGAGTCCAATGCTATCTTACTATTATGGCTCACCCTTACACATTCATTCATGCATATATTGAATGGATGGAACATTCTCTTTGTAGATCAAGTAAAATATCTCGGTGTAATCTTTGATAAAAGAATTACATGGGAATTTCACACAGAAATGATCGAAGCCAAGGCCTTCAGAACATTTGTCAGGGTCTTTCCTTTATCCAATATTAGCATTTCAGCACTAACATTAAACTAACCATCCAAAGAGCACTGATTATATCACTAATGACTTATGCTTGTCCACTTGACAGAAGACTTATATATATTATAGAAGGAAAAGGAAAAGATATCCAGTCTATCACTACATAACCAGCATGATAACAGTAGAAAGTTTGTTGGAGGAAGTGTTTTCTGTTGTTTCCATGCTGATGTTACACAATGAGGACACTAGCCGAGCTGCAGTCAGTTGGCGGTTCAGCAGAGTGTAGTGACAGGAGGTAGCTGTTTGGTAAGAGAGTTCAGTTGTCAGTTGTCAGTTGAAGGTCAGCTGTGAAGAGAAGACTAAGAGGTTGGTGTGACATGGCCTGAGTGCGGGAAGTTGAAGAATCTCCCTTGATGGAAGCCATTGCCAAGAAATGGGGAGTGGAGACTGTAATAGACTGAGAACACTAGTCTGTGTGTGTCAGTGATCTGTGAAGTGTAGTTCTGAGTGATGGATACAAGGGGTCAATAAATCCAGTTCACTAATCCATTACTCGTCTATAGTCTTACACACATACACACACACCTGCACACATGCAGGTACCCAAGTTTACATGACAGTATCATGCTATATGTGCGATGTGTACACTTGGCAAAGGCCAAGCCTATTCATGAAAGAGAAACCCGTCTGCTTGTCAGAGAGAATTTGCGTGCGCATGCACAAACATACACACACACCATTTTCTATCAGATGATCATTGAGAGACTATTTCATGATTGACATCATTGGTCAGATACTGATAGTAATTATATATCATCTTTATGATTGCAGACACACATTCATCTGGTTTAAGACTATAGGATTTGAGGTTCTCACAGAGTGGTTATGGAGAGACTTATTGTCTGGGATATTATTAACTATATGGTGTTGTATCCCAGAAGATGGGACTTTAATTTAAGATAATCTGCATATATCTGTAGGCCATTACACTCTTTGAGTGAGCATAACAAAATTTCTTTTATTCATTTTATTACATTTGACAAGAACATTCAGTTTCATTTTGAATAATACAAGTAATTAAATTATGTCAGGCTGAATACCACGTTTCTGCATTGTTATTTTAATTGACTAAATGGCTTGATTTTTTCCCTTCCCCACGTTTTCAGCTGGATTTATTGTGGAGTTGCAACAGTTTCAAGATTATTTCAAGGAAGAGGAGAGGTTTCGAGTGGATGAAAACAAAAGATGTAATAAAAGGAAGAACAGGAATTATTCTTTATCATCAAGTCACTAGCCATCCACTGTAATAATTTAACCTGTAACTGAGTACAGAAATATGTCTTGTCAGCAGTTAAAATTGGAAACTTAAACTTAAACTTTGTAACCCACAGGCTAAATCTATACCCCTTGATGCTTTCCACTGGTGGATGAAACGCAGAAGGGATATGAATATTAATTCTGTTACATTTTGTTTTGTGAAGTATTTAATATTCTTATCATGAACTGATATTACATTAGATTTTACACTGTAAACGTCATACTGCTATAAGCGAAGTCCAGCACCATAGATAAAGTTAAAGTTATCCCTTTGCTTAACTAATTAAGCACTATACCATGAAGGCATATTGATGAGTGGATGTATAGATTTACGTTTTCTTCACCTGGGCACTGGTTGGAGGTGAGTGGTCAGTTTCATGGCCTGGCTGCTTTACATCAGGGGAAGAGCCCCCAGTATACATTGGATAGGAAATCCAGAGCCATTGACATATTCTAATTCAAACTGTGAACCTTCCCAGGTTGGCCCGCTCAGTGTATCAATTTAATTTGAAGAGCCCAAGCATGTAGTCTGAGTTACTAGCTGTATTGCTACATAAAACTTAAATAAGTAGAAAAATGTCAGAATTCCATCTTTTTGCTTTATTTTCATTTCACCATCTATTTCAGAGGTTGTTGAATGGTAATGCTGTCCCTCTAACAAGGCATGGAGGCCCATAGGGATGTGAGACGTTGAGGCTCACACATTTTGTAGACAATCGACTCACAGATGGTATTGAGATTTTCAGCCTTATGGACTGGCTGCCCTTTACCCCACAGGAAGATTCCTGGTACTCATTTCTGTCAGGGGCTGGGTCGACCCAGGAAAGATTTAGGTCAATTGTAAAGTCCTCTGACATCACTGAGAATCGAACTCCAGATCTTCCAGCTTGTAGCATAGTGCCTCAACCAACTACACTGCCACTTGCACCCGAGGTTATTGAAATGTGATCTATTATCTTTCAATTGGAAAGTGTGTTCATTGTGAATTCAGTAGATTAATATTCATTGAACTATTGAAAATATGTTAAAAAAATTTGAGTTCACAATAATACTTAAAAAATGTACATTAAGGCAATGAATTTAGTTCTATGTACCCTATAATAAGACGGCTCTTTTGTGTTAAATATTTGCTCTAAACATGGGCCTTACAGTGTTAAAATCTCACGTTTTTTTTGTTCTGTAAAATAACTCTGACAATGGCATCATTACAAGACAAATTAATTGTTTTTAAATATAATATGTTACTATTACTGAAGTAAGTTGATGTTCATTGATATGCAGAACTACATGACTGTGTGATTTCTGCTTTTGTAGGATAAGAGTTAATAAATCATATCAGTACTGGTAAACACAGATGTAAAATTACATTGAAACTGATTCTGAAAACTTACACACATGAATGGCAAATGTCATTTTCCTTTATGCTTGTCTGCAACTAATTATAAATACTAACAATGCTTCTTTCTGGTTGTGGATTTCTTTTGTTATCTGTGCATGGCCAGCAAATCTAACTCACATGATGTGCTCATTCTATATGCATTCATTGCCAACCGGTGTCAGTTTAAGGAACTGTTATTTGAATTATATTATTCTGAAGAAATAAATGCATTTTAGGCTCCATTATTTTAAAGTGGGAATATCCTGTATCCAATATATCCAGAATTCTCTCAAGCTACTTGCCACAGAAACGCACGGGTAAAGACAAAACATGCCCTCTTGAAAAGATAACCCAGGGAAATTTGTCCATTTTGCTACCATGTGAATGAGTTTGAATCTGAGGTAACTTCTTTCCCCAGTCTTTGCTCCATAAGCAAATCACTGTGATCATGATGAAAATGATTATGTAACTTTCATATGTTTTATAATAATTATGGTAAAGAGACATGTTTGATGTAGAATATTGTGTGATGTTGTTTCATATTTATTTGTTTCGATTAACTTAACTCTCTTCTTGCTGCAGATTTATGGGTAGTGAAAGTTGAAGACAGGTTGTTTTAGTGTAGTTATACAATTTTACTTAGACAGCCTGCCCCCGATGAACTGCATTCTGAATGCCACAAAAATCATACATATTTCAAGGTAATACAATTGTGTGTTCAAGTATTTGCAAATACTGTACTGTAATTTTATATATGTGAAATTCCGAAGACAGGCCTGTTTAGTGTGGTAATATTGTTTTCTTTGCACAGTCTGCCCCAAAAGATTTCTGTCCTGTGTTCTTTGTGTGAACGAACCCAGAGGTGTCAAATGTAAGTGACCACCACAAACAACACAAATAGTTTCTAAAACTGCAGTGCAGATTTCTCAGCACAGACGTGCTATAAGGTTATACAAAGGTCCCAGAAAACTGGAGGGTGAGTTCTCTGGCTCGAAACAATGAACTTTTTTTATAGAAATATGCATCTGGAAATGCTTCAGTAACAAATTAGAATCATTCAAAGGTGTTCTGGCAACAGTAGGATTAGAACTGTCCTTACAAAAATAACATTTGCTAGGGACATTTCTGATGGATCCTGGAGTTTAAGAGTGAATGATGTGAATGAGTACTTGTCTCTTGTCATTACCACCTTCCCCATTTAACAACAAAACCCACAGCTGTCATGTTTACAGTGGCAGTCAGTTGACCACATATACTAGCATCTGTGGCCTGTGGTTTTCATTTCCATTGACCAGTACATACAGCCCAATGCTGTTCTTCCTGTCTTGTAGTTGCTTTATAAGCCTATTGTTACATTGGGCAATTACACATTCCGAGGATAGATTATGCTCTTAATTCTCAGCGAAGTGTGTGATAATTGTGCAGCAGCTATAAGGTTGTATGTGGAGAAGTATCCTCTAAGAAGACTTTTGAATACACGCATGTTTGGCGTCCTTTATCGTCGCATCAGAAAGACCAGCAACATTCGCCCTTCTACAGTAGTACACAGAAGTCAGAGAACTGCATGAACAGTTGATGTGGTAGAGCATGTGCTGAGACATGTAGAGCTACCGAACATGTGGAGGGTTCTCCAAGAACAGTCGCTGTACCCATATCATTTGCAACAGGCACACGCTCTAAGTCTGCTTAATTTTCGTCCCCACTAAGAATTTTGCCACTGGCTCCTTCGACAGTGTGGTGAAGAACCCTTCTTCAGCAGCTCTGTACTCCTCACTAATGAAGCAGGCTTCACAAGGAACCGTCTAGTACTTTTTGTAATAGGCACATTTGCAGTGACGTCAACTCACACAGTATAATTCAATCCAGGCATCAACAAGAGCTCTCAAATTTAGCTGTTATTGTTGGGAACTGCTTCGTAGGCCCACACATTTTGCGCGTTAGGTTCAGTAGTCTTGCTTACCAACTTTTCTTTTGCACAATTTGCCAGCGTTATTGGATAGAGTCATGCTGGATATTAGACAAGACATGTGGTTCATGCATGATGATACCCCAGTCCATTTCAGTTATGCTGCTAGAAATTAGCCTGAGACTGTCTACTAGGCTGGTTGATAGACAGGAAGGCAACGACCAGTATCCTGGTCAAGCTGTTCGCCAGATATGAATCCCTTAGATCCCCTCCTCTTGGGGCATGTATAGAAATTTTTGTATGCCTGAGCCAGCAGTAATTTAGTAGTCAGTCATGTTAGTAAGTGACTCAGGAGCAGAGACGTGAAGCAGTATAATATGACCATGAGTCCTGTGAAACCTGCAACCAAAAATGACTGTGCTTGTGAGGACCATTAGCAATTCATCCATCCTGAACTTAGTTATTTGTCAGTAGCCAGCCAGTATGGATGAAAGCACAGAACTAGAGCAATTGCCATTGTTAGATGGTGCTACGAAACAATAACTACTGGACACAGAAGACTTCGTGTGTTTTGTAGTTACACTGATTTGTATGTAATCTGTGAGACTGTTATAGTTAAACTTTCTTTTCTTTAATTCACTTAGTGGGGGGCGGAGTCCAGCTGGGTTCACTTGGCACGGCAGCCACTGATTGGCCTATTGTAGCCTGCCCCAGGTGATTATGATGATATCTAGGAACAGGCTGGAATATATCACCAGATATAAAAAAAATTATAAGAGGGTTATGAAAGAAGCAAAAAAATAGCAAATGATAAGTATGTTTCAAGGTCTCAAAATAAAATGAAAGCTATGTGGCATTTAATAAGAAATGAAGTTTGTAAGGGTGATAAGAAAATCCAACTGTTTAGCAGTACAAAAATAATATTGGATCCACAAAGTGCGGCAGATATGTTAAATAATTTCTTTGTTGAAATAGTTGATGACCTTTTAAGTCAAAACAACAAAAATGACAAAAACACACAGTGGCAGAAACAAAGGATAAACTGCTGCCCAAATACCATATTTCTCCATCCAGTCACTGAATATGAAATAGCGTGTGTAACAAATAGTCTGAAAGGTAAATTATCTGCAGGATATGACGAGATACCAGAATATCTTGTTAAAAAATGTATAAATTATGTAAAAAGACCACTGGCTCATATTTTCAATGCCTCATTGAGCTCAGGCACCTTCCCAGATAGATTAAAATTAGCTAAAGTGATACCTCTGCATAAAAAAGGGGAATATCATGATATTAAAAACTATAGACCAATATCAATTTTATTGGCCTTTTCCAAAATATTAGAAAAATTAATGTATAATAGGCTAATGCCTTTTTTAATTCAAAATAATATATTAACAGAGGCCAAAAATGGCTTCAGAAAGAATAAATCAACTGACACAGCAAGTCAGTCTTTTATTCAAAGTATACAGGAGGCCTTACGTAACGGCCTATATGCCATAGGATTATTTTTTGTTTTATCAATGGCATATGACATAACGTAATAGACCATGATATACTTTTAGAGAAACTAGACTCATATGGCATAAGAGGCGTGCCAAACATATGGTTCAGGTCTTACCTGTCAAACAGACTCCAATATGTAGAAATAAAAAACACTGACAGCAGTGTCAAAACTAGTTATAATTCATCATGTAGAAAAGTGAAGTATGGTGTACCACAGGGATCAGTGTTGGGGCGCTTTTATTTTTACTATACATTAATGATCTTACAGAAAATGTTCAAGGAGCAAAGCTGGTTTTATATGCGGACGACACCAATTTGTTAATTACTGGAAAAGATGAACTTGACCTTCAATATAAAATAATGAACATCATGAAAGAATTAGAAATATGGTTTCAAAAAAAAACCTTATAATAAATAATAAAAAGACATCTGCCATGTCATTTCATTCAAAACAGCGGAGAGATCCATTCAGACAACAAATAGTTTTTAATAATACAGAAATAGTATATCAGTCAGAACTGAGATTTCTTGGAATTCACATGACAGAAACCCTAAAATGGTGCGCTCATGCTCAATTTCTAAAAGCAAAGCTATGCAAAATAATTTATATGGTGAAGATATTAAAAGAAATAACGAGTTCATGTATGATAAAAATTATTTATTTTTCGAATTTTGAGTCATGTATGAGAAATGATATTTTACTGTGGGGTGGGGATGGGGAAAGCAAAAGCATTTTTAAATTGCAAAAACGGGTTCTTCGAGTGATTAGTGGTATTAGTAGTCGCACGTCATGTAGACAAATTTTTAAAGATTACAATGTTTTAACATTGCCTTCTCTGTATACATTGCAGGTGACATGCTTTATCAAAAAATACAAGGCTTTTATGGTAATAAATTCGGACATTCATAATTATAACACACGAAGAAAATTAAATTTTCATGTACAGCACTGTAATACAGCTCTTTTTAAGAATAGTGTGATAAATATGGGAATTAGTTTGTATAATAAGGTCCCCCGATCAAATAAAAAAAAGGAAAATTTTAATTCATTTAAAAAGGAATTAAAATCTTTTTTTGCTGAAACATTCCTTTTATTCTGTAGATGAATTTGTGTCTTTTGATTTTTCAAGTGTGTCAATGTAAAATATAGCTAATTAGTTTGTTATATTTGTATAAAGACAATGAAATTAATGGTAACTGGATCTAGATAATATTATTCAGACGACAAACCCCCTATATTAGGGTGGTACAGTGTATACTGTAAAGATATGCACGAGAATTAGATGTAAAACTGACAATTTTCTTATCCAAATGGTTGTAATACCTGTATGTATGGATTGTTGAATGATAATAAATGACAATGATAATGATGGAGAATTTGGTGGAATAAAGACTGGCAGGGGGAACCGAAGTACTCGGAGAAAACCCGCCCCAGCGCCACTTTGTTCACCACAAATCCAACTAAACCAGACCCGGGACCAACCCGGGCCGCCGAGGTGGGAAACCAGCGACTAACCGCTTGAGCTATGGAGCGGCCTTGAGACTGTTATAGTTACTTCTAGTTAAGAGTTTAAGCCTCAACAAATCCAATTATCAATCCAAATCCCGTGCCTAGACAATAACGCGTGAAAATATACTCGTGTATGAAATTTTGTTTGAGATTTATCATTATCATTTAGCAATTTCGGCTTATCACCGCACAAATTTTCGAGCGTGAACACGTTGCATGCAGTTAAGTAGTAGGTCACGAACGAGGAAGCAATCTTTGTTTTGGCCTAACATGTCTATTCTGTGAGTATTATGAACATTTTGGTGAGGATATGTGAAGTTAGGTATAACGTACAAAGGTGGCGTGTTTCTCGAAAAGTAATTGTTTCAGGACGCATGTTGCAAAACACTTTCGACTGTTTTGTTTAAACATGGAAATAACAACGATAATAACATTACAACGGCCAAGCACAATTTAACAATTATCAAAAGCGTAAAAATTAACAATAAAGGGAATCATTAATGCAACACACATCACGCGTTACAGAAAACGCTGACGCCGCAAGAGGAAAACAGCGCGAGAGAATAGAACGACGAGTGCTCAAACAAATATATTTTATGAATGAATGGCGACAAATTGAACGACACTGATATATTTTAATTTGGAACGAATTCGTTTTAAGTACAGTGAAAATATAGTGTAACGGTTTAAACGAGATTAACAGCTTCCTGATGACAGCCGAGAATGGTCGAGAAATGTAATAAAGAGGAGAAAACGAAGAAATAAAATTGCATTTGAAACGGAAGTATATACACGCATATGTATACATGGAGATCAATGCATGAGGAAGCTGATATAAAGCATCTTCTATATAATCATCTTCACGTTTCATTTTGATGTAACACAAAACCATATTCCTTGTGCAGTTTTCCGCGAGAAGCCAACAGATATCTGGCTCCGAAATGAGTTTCTGGGAGTTCTGCACCGCCATTAGACTCTACCGCGAGCCATTTCAGTTCCATCTGTGTGTCTCCGGAGATCAAGCTTCACTTCTCACGTGGCTTCCCGAAACAATTTTATAGGTCTGCTTGCTTTGTGTAATCGGTCCCACATACTTGCTCTCCCTAATAAATGAAGTGAGAAGGTGGCTGTGAAGCTTGCTTTGGTAATGTAGTGTCGTTAAGGGTAATCTAAATTCGCCATTCTGTGAATATTAAAAGATTTAAAATCATAAATTTTATTACAAATTTTGTATTTTGTATTTTGTTTTTTTTTTTTTTTTGCAGCAGAGTCCTGTTCTCCTATCGTCATTCTACAGCGGTTCACTGCTAATACTGGTCCTGATTTGAGAAGATGGCGTCACGGAGATATATACTGTATTATCAACGTTTCGGAGAGACTGTAAAAGGACACAGTCCTAGATATGAGATTGCCGGAACGGAGTGGCACTGAGTTACAGGTTAAAACAAGTCGACATGAATTGTGATACGAGGCAGTTAGTACGTAATATTAGCTTTTCTTTTCTAGATGCAGAACTGAAGAAGATCCGTACGTAAAGAGACTGACACTTCCGCCTCGGAATCAGAGCTCTGGGGGGGGGGGAACTGTTCAGGCTACCGTCTTCTGGAATGTGAATCTGTGTAGTCTGGTAGACGGATACCAACGTTTCAGAGAAAGCTTTTGCATCCATTTTCAGGATAGCGAACAAAAAGTGGAACGTGATATAAGGAGCGGAGGTCGGGAACCGCACCAAGTTCCCCTCGATGTTTAGAATCTGTTTTAAAACAAATTAAAATATTTTGCCTTAAATTAGCGCACAATCGTCAGTGCATCCATATTATTTATCACCTGAGGCCATGTCCAAACTATGCTTTCTTAAATTGTGTAAGGAAAACAATTAGACCGGCCAAGTTCCGATTCAGAGAGATAGGGGCAGCAACTTATGCTATAATGTGCTGTCTGGCTAGAGTTACCGCACACCTGCGGAGGTATGGATGTACTCGTATGGCACAATGGTGGAATGCCGACTAGCAAGGAAAATCGAAGAAATGGCTCCAGTACATCTTGGTCCTCTATGAAACTCGCATGAAATCAGCGTGGATTGAACCCTGACTCAGAGACGAGAAGGCAGTATCTAAACACCAAAGTTCAGTACGGCCTTAAAATTGTGTATTTAAGAAATTTAAATGTATTTCGAAACTGAATACGTATTTTCTTCTATAATTTTACTATCATTGTATCATTAGTATAATTTTAATATAAAATTATATAAATTATATTCGTTATGTTCCTATTCTATTAATACTTATTTAAATCTAAATTTTATCTAAATAATATCTAAAAATTCAGTTCATGTCTTATAGAAAACATAATGTGTTCAGTATAAAGAGCAACTGACTAACGCTGTTTAGGTAAATAATGCAGTTTATTCCGAGAATAATTTCAAACACACACACACAGTGTGTGTGGTCAAATTGCAAATCCTAAAGCGGATGGCATGTACGAGTATAGTAACCACTGTTTCAAGGTTTTATTTTATATTTCTTTCAATTTATATATGTACACTATTATAGCCCTATAATTTGACCCATACCTTTTGCGACTTCATTAATCATTCAGTTAAAGTTTTGTCAGATTTGGAGGCAAACACTGTGAATGCGTTGAATCTAGTTCCATTTGCAGAGTAATGGCCAACCCGGACGAATTAATTAAATTCCTCAGCTGCCTTCACAGGCTGTATTGATGTTGTAGAGGCTGTAATATGGTGTAAGGAATAGAATTTGTTAACGGTTAGAACACTGCGCTGACGCAGTCTCGAGGTCCAAGCGGTGTTCTTTCTGTGCCTTGGCAGGCCAGTCCCTCAGCTGCTTGCATGGAAATTGACTGTGTCGTCTTACGAGTACTTGTGTGAAGGTAAGTGACAACTATCTACCCGGTATTCCTTAGCGACGCACCTCTACGATGAAGAAGAAGTCAGGAGGCTTCACAGATTTAAACCGTCAGAACTGTTAACCAGATTTGCTATCTAATTTTGTAAAACAATTAACTAGTTGACTATAATTAGTTAAATTACATATAGAACGAGTTCATTGGAACACGTTCTTCATGGAAAATTATGTTTGTACTCATCCCAGTTCCTCAGCTGCTTGCGTGGAAATTGACTGTGTCGTCTTACGAGTACTTGTGTGAAGGTAAGTGACAACTATCTACCCGGTCTCTCTGCATAAGACCTCAGGAAAACTACTCTGTAAAAACATGAAACATTATTTAAAATCTGCAGAAATTTAATCTAATTATAGTTAAAATCATGGATATTAATACAGTTGCCACAGTTTCTGATAATTATATTCTGTTTCGTTATACATTGATATGAGGCTGGTTTAACGAGCTGTTTAATGGTATGCGGTCTGTGGTAGGAAAGGAATTACAGAACATTGGCTCATCTTGGCGAGTAGAGTCCAGATCTGAAGTTACGCAAGGATTGCTTTCCGGTGTTTTCGACATGTTCGATGCTTCCGTTATTTCTGGTGTTTCTAACTTAAAAAATCATATTTAATGTAAGATGAATACTTACTTACTCATGGAGCTGAGCCCTTCTGGAGGAGCTGCCAATTCTGCAGCTACTCAAGAATTTCCCAGCATTTTATGGAACCCGAAGGTTCATTACCGTGTTCACAAGAGATCCTCCACTGGTCCCTATCCCGAGCCAGATCAATCTAATCAATACCATCCCATCCTATCTCTCTAAGATCCATTTTAATATTGTCCACCCACCTATGCCTTGGTCTTCCCAGTATTCTCTTTCCTTCTGGCTTACCCACCAATATCCTATACGCATTCCTCGTCTCCACCATTCGTGCTACATGCCCTGCAATGTAAGATGAATTAGAATATAAAGTAATCGTTTGCGCAAAGACAATCCAGAGAAAATTTCGCAGCTATTTAATGTTTCAATATTTAACTCTCACCAATTTCGATTCCTTAACAACTCATTTAAATGTACATCGAATAAGGAGTCAGTGTAGACCATTCTTAGGGTTCTCGTTTCAAGTTTCGTGCTCATTGTAGAAGTTGCATGGGGTCCAAACCCCAATGAATCTGTCTTAAGGTCTTCATGACGTTAAAACAGCAGTTGGAGACAATGTTTTATCTTCAACTCACATTCTTATTACCAAACTGGGTACAATTATGACTGCACTTCAGTCTTTAATTAAGCATCACGCCATGAAGCTATATGGGGGAGTGGAAGTATAGCTCCACCATTCTTGACCTTGTCACTAGACTGAGGTGAGTGGTCAGATTCACGCCCCTACCGCATTACCCCCAAAGAAAGAACTCCCGGTGTCCACTGGTTACTAGGCTGGGTGGACTCCAGATTCGACTTGGAGGCTACAGAGGGGGGAAAATCCCTTACCCCTGCCGGTAATCGAACTCCGGTCGCCCAGCTCATAGCTCAGTCACTGTGCCGAATGAGCTGCACCGGCTCCTTCGTGTTACTAATGTTAAATTAACGTGCGAACAAAATTGTAATAATTCCATGTTCTATTTATATATTTTAAAATATTTTAAGTATTTGACAATTCGTCAGTTAACATAGTTATAAGTAACATATTTAATTCCTCTTTTCTCATGGCAGGACAGAAGTATATTTTCATTTAAGTTGTGAAGTATATAAACCGAATATATCCAATTGTTTTACGGTTTTTAACATTATTCAGTTTTCCTCAGCCTGGATATTTTGATATGTATATAGTATTTTTTCAGGCACAGGTTTGCTCACGGATGCAACAAATATAACTATTAAGAATAACATTATATCGTCGAAGCCGCCATTTTGACAAGCCACGTCATGACGCATTAATCGATCGAAGTACAGTAGGCATACTACACGTTTTAAGATATGTTTCAATATTTTATGTATTTCGATTTTTATGTTTGAGGAGTTGATTTTTGCCTTCGTCAGACGAAAAATTGGCAGAGAAAACGAGAGCATCAGAAGTATTACATTCGTTTTAGAAATACCGTGTTTAATTTGGGCTTAATTTTTTCATTATTTGAAACTATAGGCCTAACATTATATTAAAACAAGCTCGTGAAGTGTGAAAGTTCGTATTACTAAAATCCGCAGCAATAGACAAGATTATCCCTCCGCCGGAAAATGTACCAAATGGACATCCTGTCAACCAACGGAAGAAAGAACCAACCAACATCCGGCCAACCAGCCAACCAATTGTACGGATTCCCTGAATTTTATAGAACCTGAAGTTTAATTGCAGACTTCCCAAGAGCCTGCCATTGGTCCACTTAATGAGTCCATAGCTTTCCACCCCATTTCCTTAATATCTTTTTTAATAGTATTCTCCCATCCATGACCCAATCTTAGAAGAGGTTTCTGTCCTTCTGGCTTTGAAAATGATGGATGTATTCTCCATCTCTCCCGTGCAAGCTACGAGCACTCCCATTTTATCCACGATTTAGTCACTATAATATTTGCTAATGAATAACCTACAAATCGTGAAACATTTCAGTATGTAATTTTCTCTGAAATCCTGTCATTTCCTCCTATTTACGTTCAAACATTCTTCCTGACAACGTGTTCTCTAATACCCTCAATCTGTAGCATTCAGTATCGCGAAGGTTTTCCATTTTTGGCAACAAGTTTAAAAAGAGTATGAATGCAGCAATGCTCTGAACCATGAAATGTTATTGAAGGGCCCGTGATTGTCTAGCAGTCATATGAAATCATTATATGTTTCTGCAATACCAAAACAAATTTGATTTTTTCTTCCTATATGTGAGAAAGACAGAAATTTAAGAATATTATTCTATTTTCATCGTCAGAACTATACACATTAACTTGATTCTAAACTTATTACATTTAGTTACTATAGGGTTCTGACGATGGTGTATAACACACTGATATATTGGGTTTTTGGACTTTATCCATCGTCCTGGTTTATTTGTTATCTTAAAAACCAGGACGATGGATAAAGTCCAAAAACCCAATATATCAGTGTCTTATTACATTTGTTAATTCAAAGATGGACTTGGTTCATATTATCTCATATGGTACCAACTAAATGAAGAAAGACTCTATCACGTATTGAAATCTGCGTATTTTAGAGAACATTAAGATTTTTAAAATACAGAAATAACAACGTAAACGACATTCAAAGAATCACAGATGATTAACTGAGTAGCCAACGCCGTAGTTTAGAATCCTTCTTAAGAAGTAAAAGTTGCTCAGCTGCTTTAAGAAATTTCCCTCCTTTTATGAAAATCGAAGATTCATTGTCGTGTTAACACGAGGCCGTCACTAGGTCTTCTTGTGAGCCAAACTATTCCAGTGAACAACCTCACATTCTTCATATTTTATATCCATTTTGATATTGCCCTCCCATCCATGCCTACGTCATTTATGATGGCCAATCATCCTTAAGTCTGTCTGTTCCAATCTGCTTCTACCAAGCGGCAAGTCCTATAAACAAAATGTTAAAACAAAAGAGTCAGCCATTGAAAATTTGTTAATTTTACTGTTACATGCATGGGTTCGAACCCGAGGCAACTTCTTTCCCCATTATTCCCTCTATAAGAAAAGCTTTCGGATCATGGCGACAGTGAGTATTGTACTGTAATTTTAGTTGAGAGTATGTGAAATTCCAAAGGCAGTTAGGCTCTTTTAGTACGGTAATATAATTTTCTCTCAGGAGCTGTGTTATGAATGGCACGAAAGTGAAGTTAAATGTTAATCACTACTAACAGCACAAAATGTTTCTGAAATTACAGCGCAGATCCTTCTGTACGGTCATATCTTATATTCCGCAGTCTGACGCCCCACCTTGTTTTTCCAAAACTGCACGTCGTACAAAAAAAGTTGTATATGAACCATAGTCCTCTTGGGGAGACAACTCTGGGAAAATTACTGAGTTCTCTATTTCGAAAATTAGGCATACGAGGATCAGAAGAACTTGTACGCCAAATACGTAACTGTCATATTCCTCCGAAAGTATACATCGTAGACAGAATAAAAGAAACTTCCCTTCTAGTGAGCTTACTTACTTACTCATGGAGCTGAGTCCTTCTTGAGTAGTCGCCAATTCTGCAGCTACTCAGGAATTTCGCAGCATTTTATGGAACCCGAAGGTTCATCACCGTGTTCACAAGAGACCTCCACTTGTCCCTATCCTGAACCAGATCTATCCAATCCATAGCATCCCATCCTATCTCTCTAAGATACATTCTAATATTGTCCACCCACCTACGCCTTGGTCTTCCTTGTGGTCTCTTTCCTTCTGACTTTCCCACCAATATCCTATACGCATTCCTCGTCTCTCCCATTCGTGCTACATGACCTGCCCACCTCATCACCTCATCCTCCTTGACTTGATCATTCTAATTATACTTGGAGAAGAGTACAAGTTATGAAGCTCCTCATTATGCAGTTTTCTCCAACTTCCTGTGACTTCACCACTTCTAGTGAGCTATCTTTGAAAAAAAAAATGACTTCTTTCTGTTTCAGTAAACAGACCAAGATTCCCAAAAGACTAATACGTTGTAGTTGTAATTGTATATTTTGGAGTTGTAATAGTATTTGCATTGTATTCATTTTGTGTAGTGTGTCCTTTATTGCTTGTATAATTTTGTATGTTGTGTTTTGTTTGAATGTGGTGTGTTATTTCGTGTGATTCATGTTATTTGTGTGTTGTGTCTTATTGTAGTATCGCTGACACCGGCTAAAAATCCATTTTCGATTAAAAAATAATAAAAAACGACATACTGCAGAGTAATTTCACATTTGTATCCTTTAGAAAGATTCTATTCCACGTGGAACATTAGTCATAGCACGGCCGTGTCATAGCTGAGGCGGTTAGTCGCCGGCTTCTCACAGCGTTAACTCGGGTTCTATCCCAGGTCAAGTCATGTGAGATTTGTAGTGGACAAAGTGGTACTGGGGCAGGTTTTCTCCGAGTACTTCGGTTTCCCTTGCCAATTCTCATTCCACCGACTGTTCCACACTCACGAACATTATCATCCAGGACTTGTACATTAGGTCAAATTGTGCCCGACGTACCAAGTGGACTCAAGTCTCACTCCACCCCAAGAGATTAAAAACAAAACTTGGGTCATAGAATAGTGTGAAATTCTTGGAGAAGTTTCTGTGAAAGATATGGAGAAAACACAAATGTTAACA